ATGGGAGGAAAAGTGACGCGGGCCTGATAAAGATCACCTCCAATGATAATATCATCCTAAAGCCTTCTAAACACACAAGTTAGGTCTACAAAATATCTACCAGACATGAAAGTCGCAAGGCCAGCAAAACTATGACAATAAACAAACTTGGTATAATCACCAATACCACAAGATTACAAGGCTGCGTAGCGAGAAATGCCCTAGAAACCACAAAGGGCTCAGCCCTGCTGAGTGCTGTTGCTGTATCTCTGCCCCAGCTGCTCAAATGTTGATGTGTTTAAGCAAGAGACGAAACATTTCTGCACTGTGGTGTTTATACATCAGTCAGTCCCAACATAAAATCCAAAATCCCTGACAGAATAAATGGCCATGATGGAAAAAGTAAACCCAGGGCAAGCATAGTACTAGTGGTTAAACCTATTTTGTGTGTCTATTAATAGCTTAGATGAAGCAAAACACTACCTGAAAATAAAAGTGTTATTTCTGCATATATGTGGCAGTCAAGCAAACGGCTGTGTAACATGCAATTTCCTTTGGGTTTCCACTGTGTGTTACAACATGTGTGACAGTGGTTGAGGTTTCTGACCACTGAGAGGACTTTCACCAACTAGTGGAGCTGAGATTCAGTAAGCAGAAGCAGACTGTGGCATTAACAAGACACTTCCGCTTAGTGCATCCCTCTCCACGAACTCCTACTCCCACAGGCCAGGTGATCCAGAGTTACACCCCCCCAGTAACCAGTCTGCAATCGACCATCTGGGCTCTCCATCCCGAAACCACCAACACAAACCTATTTCCTGAGGTAGAAGCCAAAAACCAGCTGTTGGGGGTAGCGTTTACCAATAAGGCTTTAAGTGAGGTTGAAGGCTACACTTTGGGGATGACTTGCAGCAGAGAGTTTGGCCAGCACATGTAAAAACTTGGGAAACCACTAGCAAAATGCCACATTACACAGGGGGTCATTTGAGAGCAGGTGAGTGATTCAAGGGCTCAGTATTCAAGTGAAAAATATATATGTAGAAAAGATGGAACTTTCCATAACAACAAATAGCAAAAAGAAAAGACGGAGAGACGCTGGCAAACAGACACCCTGCATCTGCTTTATCTCTATCCCAGCACGCAATCGCAGCCAAAATCTGTAATGCTCATGCTTTTATTTACTTGCAAAATCCCATTATGCCAGTGGCACAGTGGGCAAAAATGCTTTTAATACACATTACTGTGGCTGCAAATAAGATAAGACACCACTCCTGAGAGGGAATATGTTACTTTGTGAGAGTAAACTTGCTTTATATGTTGTTAGGCTATTCATCAATCAGAAACAATAGGCAAACATCTGAGAGTGGTGGACAGTTTGTTAAATGTTACAAGCACTGATGTAAAACAGGAAAGGACAAGTGCAACGAAGAAGTTCATAACCACAGAGGTTTCAAAGAGGCTGGATGTCCAGGCTGTTAGGCATTCACTCATAAATCTCATGTGCTTAAAGGGGGGGGCATTAAAGCATTCTAGTGTGATCAATAGTGATCAATATTACTGCGGTACAGTAATCAATGATCTAAAATAGCAAAAAGTAGCTAATACGCTTCTTTTTAAGGGTACATTTCCACACCTGGTCAATCACCCATTTTTCCCTTAAAAGTTTGAGTCTTATTTGTCTCTGTTCTTTCTGTGGCCCAGGCAGGATGTGCTAACATCTTTTGTTTCCCTGAATGCACCATCAAGGCCACTTTCTCACAAGATCCTGAGGAGAGATTATTTTGACAACTGGAAAGCATTACTGTTTTCTCTCCACCAAGGGATGTGGACTCTGTGGACTTGGGGCTGCTAGTAATGGATGAACTGCAGTATAACACCGGTCCACTGGCCACTTGTCTTGACTGGCCAAAAAGCTCATCGGCTTTTCCAGATCCATTCTAATAAACTACACTCTTCATCCATTTTCCCTGACTCTGTAACACAGGGAACAACTGCAAGAGCTGCTTTGGTTGTGGCTTTAACCTGACATTATACAGTTCTATTAACACAAAGTGTAAAAGAAAAATGTTGCTGCAATCATTTGCTGCCTAAAAGCTTTGAAATTCTCCAACATCTTGGTGAAGGTATGATAACTCTCTCCAAGAGCAGCTTCCTCGAGTGCGCTGCTGTGTCATAAGAGCCATGGTTCATTACTGTAATCCCAATTTAAGCGCCTGTGTGAGGATAACTGCAGCAGCTAAATGACAGCGCTATCGTTCTTCACCCACACAAAAGGGTGGGAAATGTTCATTTATTTGCTGCTTGAACCATGTTCATTTTACAGACAGCAGAGCAGAGGGTTGAAGGGTTAAAAGCTTCCGACTGTAGCATGCACGCTGTATGTTTGACTAACGGAGGGTGCTTGTTGTTGTGGATTAACAGCCTCTACTCGTTTACCTCAGGTGATGATGAGATTTTTCCTTTATGGGAAGCCTCTGCACTGCGCACTTGAGTGAGAGAAGAAAACTGGTGTGGGTGCCTTGTGTTTATTGACAACCACCAATGCTGCCTTTTCTTGCACCACCACTGCCGCTCCCTCCCCAGGGGGAAATCATAACAATGAACTGATTCCACACTGATTACTTGGCTAAGATGCCTGAAGGTGGAGATAGACAAGCACACTTTGTTTGAAACCAGGGACTGTGCACACTGACTCTTTCAGCTCTTTTGACAGGCTAAAACTATTATTGTTGCACTGTACCACAGCCCCTGCTCTATCTTGTCTTTTTCAACAATACCAAAGTTTCCCTTTCAGCTGTGCACATCATGCACCACACACGAGACAAGCTCTAGTGCACAGAAATAAAAAATAACCTTCCAAACTGCTGCATACCCTAAAATAAAATAAAATAAAATAAAATAAATTGTTTTCACATAAGTGGACAGAGTTAGCACAGGGTTCACTATGATGGGATCACATTGGGCCACAGGTGAAATTGTCCGTACTTGCCTCTTTGGGTTTACGGTAATCATCCACTAATCTGGCTCATTTACGGACCCCAGAGGCAAAGAGCTGGTTCCCTTTGAGTTAGCCGCCAGCACAATGTGACTATCTCAAGTGGTGTGGAAATATGCAACCTAGGTGTTTTAAAAGATAATTCAAAGCCATAAAGCCATTCCCTTTGAAAACAACAAAGATTGCGGGTCCTTAAATCTCTGCCTGATAAGGTTTGGACGAGATAACAGAAGCCGACTTGGAGCGACACAGGGCTTGCGCGGGGAACCCTGTCTTCACACAAACCAAAAGGTCCAGTGCAGCTGTTTCAGATGGGACATTTGTCCCACAATACATGATCATTGTCCAAGAGGACAGGGCAGTACTGTGAGTCTGCGTGCATGCATGATAAACAGCATCTGCACTTGAGAATGGCTAAGAGGTGCTTCAGGGCAACGGGGCTACTCAGGCACAAGTGCCATTATTCGTGTTTTCTGAGGACTTTTTAAAGCCATTGCATTCCTGACTACATGGGGCAAGAAAAACTGCCTCAAACAGGAACCTGGGAGCCAGAACAGTCCTAAGGCCTTTATCTAAATTCCCAGGAATACACACACACACACACACACACACACACACACACACACACACACACACACACACACACACACTAAAAAATCTCAAAAGTTTAAGGATTTGTAAAAGTCACTGGAAACAGTGGGTGCAATATACTCCAGTGAGAAACAACATGTCAACAGGGAGGACAGAGAGCAGTGTTGTCTGTAAGTAAACTATCTAATTCAGTCTGGTAAGTGCTTAAGTTCCCCATACATTGGGGGATGTTTTATAAAAATGTGCCAAATTAGCTCATTTCCTAAATGATCTGGCAGACAGAGTTTCATTTGTTGTCAGCTTTACTTCCAGGAGCCGGTGACTTTCCCAAGAAATTGAATTTATGAAGTGAATCTAGCGAGACAGAAAGGGGAATCAGGATGATACCTGTCATAAGTCTCACTGAGTAATGACGGTTAATTTGTTATGACATGTTTGGGTCTATTTGTTTGCTCAGGCTGCAGGGACTGTTTGCTCACTCTAACACTGGAAACATGAATACACCTTCAGATAGATGCAACCGAAGGCACATGTGCCAGGCACAGAGAGATAAATCTTTTTTTTAAGCATGAAGATAAACCAGAGCCTGGAACATTCAATCACATCTCTAAAAGTAAGTGCGTTATAAAATACAGAATGACTTGAAGTTAACGATAATTCACAAAGCAAAGCCTTTGACACCCTTTTAAGTGCAGACAACTTGGAATACACGTTTGCGCACGTGGCTCTTCTCGCGATAACAAAAACACCTGTTAACCTACTTACTTTGAATAAAACTCCCCAAGTCTGACTATTTAAGCAAAAATTTAAAAAAAACAAAACAAAACACATCAGCAGGGAATGCCCGAACTACACAAAAAGTCTTTCAACACAGCATCTGGCCAAGTGTCAAACTCACAGATGCTTTTGTTTGTTTGGGGGGTACAATGTTGTGAAAGATTATGCGACTTTAATTTACGAACAGCATGAAAAACAAAAAAGCTCAAGTGGAGTTACAACATGATGTTCAGGGTCTACCTGCGTAAAGTTTTAATGTTCCGTCACTTTCTAGAGGCGCGGGGGGCCTCCGGAGTACTTTGACGGGGTAACTAACTGAAAACAAAACGCGCGGGGCAGGGGGCAGTTTTGTTTGCTTACATACAGTTAGAAAGGAGGCACGGGCATAGCTTCTATGACAGCTGCCCGTCACTCCCCCCTCTGTTTGAGTTCATAAGCAAAACTATGCAACTCTAAGCAGAACCACAAAAATCTTCTCTGACGGGATTCCTGGGGAGAAGCCCCGTACCAACAGGGGTCCTCTGCTTCAAAGCCGTGCTGTCGGCGTGTTTAAGCAAATAAAGCCCTAACACTCTATGCTGCTGTCCACGTTTTTACACTGTTATCCCGTTATGGGCTGGTCAATAAATAGGTTAGAGCAACTAAGCGCTTTACTTACAAGGAAACAGTCCGAACTGGAAGGTCCAAAGGCGTCGCCGTCAGCTCCAGATTACTACAGTCCACTGAGTCGCCACTGCAGGTACAGTTCTGGGCACATGGTGTGTCTGAACTCAATCCGTAACTTTGAAAGAATTCGACCGACAAAATTAAATAAAAAATACACCGAGACAGATATCCAAATCGTCCCAGGAAGGCCGCCATTTTGTATCCAGTTTTAATAGCGCGGCTGCTGAGCTCTCTCCCGGTGCCCACAACCTGGTGTCTTTAATGTGGCTACGAAAAAAAACGAAAGCTCGTTATAACGCATTAATTGTCCTCTTGTACTAAAGATGCTAGCACGGACAACTTTGGGGCAGCCAAATGTTTTCCGCCCCAGAAACATTCATCTCTGACACAAGTCCCCCACTTCCAACTTTCTCCTCTAGCGTCCGAGGCGGGCTAAAAAAAATAATGAAAGGTAAATCACGGACTAGCAGCGAAACTCTGCTACAGCGAACTCCTTTAACTCTCCAAACTTTGTGCATAAAAGGCTAAATGTAGTTTGTCAGTAGTGATATTGCTTTTGCCGACCTCTGAAAACATGCAACAGTCAGACGTTAAAGGACACTGCGCCTGTACACCTCTCAAAGTAACAGTTGATCAGCGGAGTAGCACAAAAAAGTAAACACTAAGCAAAAGAAAACTGCCAGACGAAACCAGAAATTTGAATATGTAGGAAACAATTTCGGGCTCGCAGGAACAGTGGTGAAAACTCCAGCGCTGGTCTCTCAAGCCGAACGTTGCATGTCGTCCATACCGCGGCGGTCGAATACATCCAACTTTAAACCCCCCGCACGCCCGGTGTTCTCCACCAGCTGCTTATCAGGTACAGTCTGTGGTCACAAAATCTCGACGATGCGATTAATAGCTAAATTGAGTACCCCCTCCTCCTCCTTCTGAGCGTTCAGTACCACCATGAGTTTTTCCCCCTTACCCAGTTACTTTTCCTTTTTTTTCCTACGGGACCTTTCGGTAATCCCATGTTGGAAACACAACAGCAATTCAATGGTCCTCCCCCGGTTCGCTTGTGATTGGCTGGTGAGAGTTGACGGCCGGGTTACAGCCTAACCTCATTGGTCGTTGCGGGTTCTCACTGCCTCGCGAAGTTGGAGAGCCCTTGAGCAGTTGTCACTCAGCGGTTTCTGGCCCCGCCCATGTTTCCCACCCCGGGGTGTGAAACCGCACCACCTCCTCTCACTCTCACTGCTTCTTAAAGAGACAATCACCCAGATCAAGCTCTGTAATCGCATTATAACAAGCCGTAATAACATAATTGGTTTGAAAGCCCGATTTAAGTATTTGTTAGTAAGGCTGACATCAAGATTTACATACAGAAGAAAGAGCGGGAAAGCTGATTATAAGCAATTGGCTGTATTCCCCTCAGCCACGCGCATTTGAAGGAGTTTCTGTAAAATACGATAAAGTTCCAGCTGGAGAAAGTTGAATTGTGCATGTGCATTTGCTTGTGTAAAGTTTGAGTATGCATGAATATTAACAATTGTGGAATAGTAAGTACATTTCTCTTTCCAAGTGAACACCTCAGTCGACTGTTGCCTAATAATAATAATAATAATAATAATAATAATAATAATAATAAAAACCCTTATATCTCCACTCCGCTTCAGAGAACAATTGCACTTTGCAGGTGTTCAGATAAAGAATAGAATCCAGCAGTGAGTGTTGCTGTGAAAGTAATATGAACATTTTACATCACTTAAAAATAACAATACTACAGAAATACTTTGTTTAAAAAGTTCAAAATTTGCAAGTTTAAAAATGCTATACTCCTAGTGAAAGTAGATACTTATCAGGCTCAAATCAAGGTTAAATTAATTGCTATCAAAATGTCAAAATAAAATATACTAATTACTCTGGTCCACTTTCACCCAGTGATAGGTGAGAATGTCTCCAACCCCTCATCACCCTGAAATAGATTAGCGATTAAGAAAATTGATGGAAAGGTGGTTGGATATTACTCTGTTTAACGATAGACGATTGTGCAAACATCATTAATGGCGGTGACTGTGGTGATGATTCCACCTATGTATATGTTATCTAATCTAATCTACTCTAATCATTTTATATTCTAATTCTAATCCAATCATAATTAAATGTATTTAATCTTAAATAATAACATCTTACAAATAAAACTGGAGAAAAATACTGGATTTGCTTCCTAGTAGTGGAGCATAAAAAAGTGTAAAGTCAAAATACCAAAAGTGCAGTAAAAGCATAATTAAATATAACTGTATTTAAGTTCTCTCAGGTACTCCAGGTTCATCCCACAGGTTAACTTGTGGTTCTAAATTGTCTGTAGGTGTGAGTGTGAATGGTTGCCAGTCCCTATGTTGGTAGAAAGTGATGAACTGGCAACCTGTGCAGAGTCTACCCTGCTTCTTGCTCCATGACAGCTGGTATAGGTTTGTACAGGCCCTTCTGTGACCCTGAATTGGATAAGCGGACGAAAATGTATGAATGTACTTAAGTGCGGTGCATGAGTAAAGCCTACTTACATTCCAAGTAGCTCAAGTTGGCTCCATATTGACACAGTGTCCATACGCTGTAAGCAATTGAAAGGCCTCTTATAAAATTCTTAACATAATGTGATTAAATTATCCATTTATTTTCGATCTTGTTGATAATATTGCACAATGACTTTGAATGGGGTGTCTTTAAAATTAGTTGTGACTAAGTAAAGCACCCTTTTTCATAACCATCCGCGAAAAGCTGCAAATGTTTTGTGTACATGTACCTGACAATTTGCATACACAATCGCACGCAAAGTGGATGTGTATAATTGTATGTGTGTATGGGCCTGCAAACACACCCATACACATGTGTGTCATTTGTCCATCCAGAATAATCGTTCACCATTTGAGCATGCCCAGTAATGGCCACATGATAGCACAAAATTTTTCCCAAATGTTGAAATCATATTTGCCCCGTGCCTCAAAAATGCACATCTGTGATAAATCAATGCCCCCGTCAGCCTCCCGGCCCCTTGTACGCTTTTTTTCCTTCTTTTTCTCGTCACATTTCTTTTCTCAGCACTGAAAGATAAGTATTGATTGACTCTGTCGGAGCTATTGTGATCGCTTCGTGTTGGGAGAAGTCCCAGATTTCTTTGCTATTAATCACAGTAGCAAGGACATAGATATTCACACCTGGAGCACTGCAGGCAGTTTAGCAGTGCGGTTCCTTTCCAGTGAATAAGCAAAGGTTTCACATTGCACCATGTGTATGAGTGAGCGCTGTGGCCTACAGGTAAGGCCTCTGGCTCTTGGAAGCGAGGAAAATATCTGCAAAATGAGACACTGTTAAAACATGACTTCGATGGTGATGGAGAACTGCAAATTTCTATAGTTTTGTCCAGAAACTGCATTTCTTTTAGACTGTTCTTTGGAGTTGTGAAAATCATTCAAATATTTTAAATGCTTGATATTTCACAAACTTTCAACTTTAAAATATAATATGGTATTTATATCTATTCGTTTGATAAGAAATGTATTTAGAAAGTAAATTCCAGTTATATAATTCTATTTCTTAGGAATATATGGTGTAGTATTAAATCGTGTCTTTTTTTCAGTATATTTTTAATTGATACTCAGTAATATAATATATCAATAGTAAAATATATAAATATCAAATTGCTAGAGTTTATTATATTGGACTTCCAGCCACTGAACTGCTATTTAAATGTCCTTATTCATATATACCATCGCAGCTATGCCACAAATACCCAGCCCAACAAACAGGGTATGTGGACCAGGTACTTTGGGGCTCTATTTTGAGTGGACTGTTGACTTGTCTCTTAATGTGATTTATCTGGTCATATAATGTCTACTAGTGCAGCAGGCAGACAGCATTATTTCTAATGAGAAATATTTCTTCTCATATTTTTTCCTCCAAATTCTTATTTCAGTAGCAGATATTTCTTTACTTTGATAGCATATGTTTTGGCACTACTTTTGCCGTTCATTAAACTGATAGTCAAACAACGAGGTTACATTGTAAGAAAAGCATTAACAGCCTTTTCTATCACAACTGGGAAACTCCTCAGACTCACCCCACGCCCATTCTTGTCTGTGTTAGTGGACATGTTCCTGTCATGAGAGTCCATTCTAAAGAAGATAATGATTGCACCAGATGAGCCCTTGTCTTCTTCTTTTTTATATCTGTTTTTTATGATTTTAACACCATTCATATTGGTGTTTATGCAGCTGGAACAAAATCAAAGTGTCCATAAAGACACGTCCACAGATTTCAGGGCCGGTATTAGAAGTGCAGGCAGTAGCTTCTTATGTGTTCACGATGAGTCAAATACACATTGTTCACATTTCACTTTATTTCAGTGCTGGAGGGGTAACGTGATGGCGAGAGGAGGGGAGAGGAGGGGTGGACGTGCGAGGCCTGAAGCGATTCATCACGCTCATCTTACTGGAATCTTCAAAGATAACAAACCATCTGCTGCAGCTATTCATCAACTATAAAGTGGAGAGGCGTGAAACGCAGCCAACTCATCAAACTGGGACTAGATGGCTAACGGGTGTTGCAGGAGTGCAGAGATGCCTGGCTAATAGGAAGCAGAAACAGTTTGGGCACTTGTGTCGATACCAGACTGCCTGCTAAGTGGCGTGATTACGTGGCCTACAAGGCAGAGGACGTGAGTGAAGAGGGGGAAGAGGAAAGCGTGACAGATGCAGAGAAAGAAAAATGTAAAGGCAAGAAGGTGCAGGATGTCTATAAACACTCCACGTGCAAGACATTTTGGATGAAAGACTCTGGCCTTGACTCTGATCTACCTTAGGGTTTCCTCAAAATTAGGAATAATCAATGATTACTTGATGACTACTTATTTTTATAAATTTTAAAAGTCTGAAGAAGATATGTGTTGTAAATAAATGTAAAGATATAAAACCAAAGCATGCGACAGGCTACATTGACATACGTTTAATGGAGTAGAGCATTTTTCAGTGTTGTGAGAGAGAAAAGGATGCAGGTAATGTGTGTTTTAATTGCACAATTACTTTAGATACATGTTTGCTATTTGTTTTTTACTGCTACATTGTCACTTCCCCAGCTACTCAGTTACATTATCATCTCCCCAAAAACACTTACCCTGTGTTTTCTGAGTTTTGCATTATTTGTTTTTTGATGACAGTGGGTTTTTTTTGTATTTTTGCTGTGTTTTTTGAACTTCAACTTTTCGTGCTTTTACAGCATTTTTCTATTTCCTGGTGTTGTTAAGTTGCATTGTGTTTGACCTTTCAGGGCCACCGTACAGTCTCCACTGACCTTGCAACAAACCAAACAGACATTCATGTGTAAAACGCTATCATTATGAAAATGCACAGAGAACAACCATGCATCCATCTCCTACACTTGGCCTTACCAGGGTCAAGGGGAGTTACTGGAGCCAATGCCAGTTACTCAGGTACAAGAGGCAGGGCACACCGTTGGGAAGAAGTGCATGGAGAGAACTCATGCAGACACTGAGAGAAAGCCCTGCCAACATGGTGGATTTAAACCTAGAACTGTAGGGCAACAATGCTAACCACCGTACCACTTCGCTACCCCTGAAATTTACACCTGTAGTAAAGAAATAAGCTAGGAGTGATAGCTACGTCGAGAGGAATCAGTATTTCACCAGATAATGAACTAAACCACGGGTATATGAAAGACAATAACAAAGAAGCTTCAAGTGTGGTGCAACCTGCAGGTGTCTAAACACCATAGCTCCAGCTATTCTCCTGTTTTTTTCTCACTGCATAGAAAGTAAGCTAACCTTCACAGTTCACATCACTGTTTTCCTTATGACGAGGGTGAATCAGGCTGTGCCATGCCAAGTTCCTGTCAGTAGGTAAGACTCGCAGCTTTGCAGCCCAACGGCGAGCGATGAGAGACAAACCATACCAGCTCCCTAACCTG